AGAGCCATTGGAACTACACACTATAGCGTGGGGATTTGGAACTATGCACTGTAGCACACAGTTCTGATGGCTGAGAGTGTATATTTGAGCGCCCAAGCATACACAGTCAAAGTCACCACTCACCAGCAGGCTGGAATTCTAAGAATGGAAGTTCACTTATAAAAAAGCTTTCCACCCAAGGTGAAAAGCTTTCCTTGGATGCGGTGCTCTACCAGCCTGCCAGGGGCAGGAGACTGACTATAAATGAAAAGGAGGATCAAAAGTGGACAAAATGTTTCAATTGTATAGTACATTAGGTTTGTAATAGAATTATTTGGATATCTCATGTTTGATAGATATTTTTTATTTGTCTTATATTTAATGATTTTTTTTTAAATTTTCAGGCCTTTTGTTTGTAATGATCAAGTTTTAGTTAAGTATTTAGTTAACCAGTACTGTAGTACATATACCATACTTGGGGGCAGGGCTTATGGGCATAACCAATCACAGCTTGAAAGCATCCCCATCAGCCAATCACAGCTTGACAGCATTCCATCAACCAATCACAGCTAGAAAGCAGATAATATTACAATTCTATTATCCAATCAAAGCTGGAAAGCTGAAAGTGGCTAAAATAACAAACCAATCACAAATGGAATTCTGGAAAGGGATAGGATATGTAAATAATGGACTGAAAGTGTAAAGTTCCTAACTTCCTGGCCTTTCCAAGCTTTCAGGTCCTGCTTTCCAATAAGCTATGTGTACTGGTTAATTTATTATCCCTCTAGAATTCCACACTGCTCACCAGAACTACTTGCTGTAGCATGCAGTTCTGATGGCTGTCACCTCGCTCACCTGTGTGAGTGTATTTTTGCACCCAAGCATATGCACTCAGAGGTACCTAAACTACTCAATGTAATGTGCAGTTCTGATGGTTCTAAACTTCTAAGTGCATATATTTGAGTGCTTACATTGAGAGAGCCACACGACAAATCATTTTAAATAAACTGACATCATTAGTCTAGCCACCTGAACTACGCGCCATAGAGCGTACCATATCCAAATCCAGGTCACAAAACCCAATCCAACCAAACCCAACCCAGTGCAACCCAAACCAAGCCAACCCAATTCAACCTCACTCAATTAATATCAACCCAACCTAACTGAACCCAACCAAATCTAACTGAACCCAACCCAATGCAACTGAACCCAATTCTATCAAACCCAACCCAATGCAACCCAAACCAATTCAACCCAACCCAAAGCAATTATAACCTATTTGAGCCAACCCAATTCAACCCAAGCCAATTCAATCCAGCCCAATCGATCCCGATTAAAATCAACCCAATCCTTCTCAATGCAACCCAACCCAATTGATCCCAATTAAAATCAACCCAATCCTTCTCAATGCAACCCAACCCAATAATTCATCCTAACCAAATTTAACCCAACCCAATCTAACCAAATCCAACCCAATTGAACCCAACCAAATTCAACCCCACATAACTCAATCAACCAAAATTCAACTAAACTCAACCTAATCAAACCATATTCAATCAACAAATCAATTCAATACATTCTAAGTTGATTTAACTAAATTCAACCACACCCAACTCATTAACTCAACCCAATTCATTCCAACATAATTTAATTCAACCTTATTCAATTCAACCCAATCAATTCATTCAACTCAAGCCAACCTAATTCAGTAAAATTGAATAGACTGAATTAGAATATATTAGAATGCATTAAGTTTTTATTTGATTGCACTAGATTTCCTTGCAATGCATTAAAATGCACTAGAACACATTAAATGGAATTAGGGTACATTAGGTTTCATTAGATTGCATTACATTGCATTAGGATACATTAGATTGCCTTGAATTGAATTAGAATGCAGTAGATGGCATTAGTTTTCATTAGATTGCATAAGGTTACATTAGATTGCAATAGGTTACATGAGATTGCCTTATGTTACATAAGATTGCCTTAGGTCACATTACATTGCTTTAGAACACAATATTTTGCATTAGAACGCACTAGATCGTGTTAGAACGCAATAGATCGTGTAAGAACGCAATAGATTACGTTAGAATGTAATAAATTGCATTAGAAAGCAATAGATTGTGTTAGAACCCTATAGATTGCGTTAGAAAGTAATAGATTGCATTAGAAAGCAATAGATGGCATTAGAACGCAATATATTGCGTTAGAACACAATAGATCACGTTAGAACGCAATAGATAGAATTAGAACGCAATAGATCATGTTAGAATGCAATAGATTGCGCTACATTGCAATAGATCGCGTTAGCATGAAATAGATCACATTAGAATGCAATAGATCACGGTAGAACCCAATTGATCGCATTACATCATGTTAGAATGCAATAGAGCGCGGTAGAACGCAATTGATCGCGTTAGAACGCTATTATGGCTTTACATCGCATTTGAACGCAATAGATGGCTTTACATCGCGTTAGAACGCAATAGATCGTGTTACATCGCGTTAGAACACATTAGGTCGCGTTAGAATGCAATAGATCGCGGCAGAAAGCAATAGATTGCGTTAGAACGCAATAGATTGTGTTAGAACACATTAGATCGCGGTAGAATGCAATAGGTCACGGCTGAATGCAATAGATCGCGTTAGAATGCAATAGATCGATTTTGGCTTGCCAGACGTATGCACATTAGGCGCGCCAGACATATGCACATTATGATCGTATGCACAACGCATTGAGTGCGTTAGACGTATACACATTATGATCGGGTGACAGATACAAGCAATCAAACAAGCTGAAGATGTGCGCAGTGTTGGCAGGGCTGATCGAGCAATCCTTAGTATATGATTGGTCATGGATGCACGAGCCATAGTTCATGATCGGCCATGGACGCCCGAGCCATTGTTTTTTGATCGGCCATGGACGCCCAAGCCATAGTTTATGATCGGCCATGGATGCCTGAGTTATAGTTCATGATCGGCCGTGGATGCCCGAGTTATAGTTCATGATCGGCCGTGGATGCCCGAGCCATAGTTCATGATCGGCCATGGACACCTGAGCCATTGTTTATGATCGGCCATAGACGCCGATTTTAGGTTGAGGTGTCTGATGGAGAGCTTGAAAAGATGCCAATATCTCGAGCTGAAAGGCCCTACTTTACACCCTGGAGACCTCAAAGATCTTTCCAGGCTCTCCTCAACCTCAAGTTGGTTTTTGAGTCAAATAAGTAGACCTTAACACCAGTAAGAGTAAAGTATCATCATGAATAGTGCATACCAGCCTTATCATATGTAAGATATTGGCTAAAATTTGGAGTGGAAGAGATAATTAAAAAATAATTGATTCTAAAAAATCTCTGGTTTGCCACTATGCAAGTTAGCTTTCCTGCTCCCATGCTCCCAGTCCAGGAGGCTAGGAGCCAGGGCCCAGGACCGTAGTGCCAAAGGGGAAAATTTCTTATTGCCCTTCCTCAAATTCATTATCAAGTCCTATAAATTGGCTAGTAAGTATCATGCATAATCATGGTTCATGGACAGTGGAATTCTAGGAATGGAAGTTCTTTCAAGTTCACTTATTAAAAAGCTTTCCACCCAAGGTGGAAAGCTTTTTTTAGACACAGCACTCTGCCAAGTGCCAGGTGACTGACTTTGAAGGAAAATGAGATTAAAAAGAGGAGTGTGGACAAACTGTTTCAATTTCTTTAATTTATTGGAATTTTTTTAAAATTTCCACTCCATGTGTTTGAAATGATCAAGTTTAAGTTAATTATTAAGTTAAGTTAGTTTTAGGATTAAGTTAACCAGTACACATATATTTGGGCACATCCAACCACAGTTGGCCTGGAAAGGATGACATCACAATACCATGAACCAATCACAGCTGGAGAAGGGATGACATCACCATCTAATCAATCAATCACTGCTGGAAGTCTTTCTCTTTTCTCTTTCTGCTGGAAGGCTTTTCTCTTTCACTTCCCTTCCACTGAGTGGAAGGGAAGTGAAAGAGAATGACATCACAAACCTACCAACCAATCACAGCTGGAAAGGAATATCATAACCAGATATGTATATAATGGACAAAGTGGAAAGTTTCTGGCCTTTAAAAGCTTTCAGGTAAGTCCAGCTTTCATAACTATCAAGTCCTGCTTTCCAATATGCTATGTGTACTGGTTAATTTAATAGTACTGTACCCCTCTAGAATTTCACACTGATTATTCATGAATAGTACCTACCACATACCGTACCACTTACCAGAATTATCATACATAAGAAAGCATAGTGGCAAACCTGGTATTTTTTTAATCAGTTCATTTTTAATTGCCTCATCTACTCATTTAATTGCCTCATCGATTTAAACCAATACCTATCTTACGTATGATAATTTTGGCAACCAAATACTTTACTGGTCTATTTATTAGACCCAAAAATGAACCAATTCTAAAAATATCTGGTTTGCTACTATGCTCAGGATCCAGATGACAGGTCCCACTCCCAGGCCTCCCTCAGGGCTCTGCATAGTCATAGTGTCAAAGCATTGAGTTTTTTAGGCTCTTCCCTTACTTCAGTTTTGAGTGAATTATTGTGGATACCAGCATTTTCATACTTAGAATATTGGTTTAGATCTCGAGTAGATCAGGTGATTAAAAATGAACCGATTCCAAAAAATCTGTGTTTTGACACTATGGCTGGCTCAGGCTCCCACTAACTGACCTTCAAATCTAGTGAATAATAGTAGTAGTGACTACTGTGCTGCCCATGCATGCCTCATGTCAATATCTTTCTTCCTCTTCTCATAAGTTTTTTGTGTGAATTGTTCTTTGTGTTAATCATGGTTAGCAATAACACTTTTGTTAGCTAATTTATTTTGATCAATGAATTTTTACATTGCTTTAATTTTCAGATTGTTCATTAATTTTTAATTAGCTACTGGTACCTACCATCAAATCCTTGCCACTCAAGTCTTGGATGAGATTTTCTCATTGGCATTGCCTATTTGGTCTCAGTGTAAATATTTTCATTATTCTGCACTTAATTTGAAACTTGCCAAATAATCAAATAATGCTATACAAAAGTTACAGAAATAGAATTGATAGGGTTTGGTTAACAAATAATAATCTAAAAGCTGTTATGATATTGCTAGAAAGCTGTGTGTTCAGTAAGAAAAATATATTTTCATTACTTTATAGAAATTTTATTTACAGATGCCTTCCATGTCAGAAATAGCCCAGAAATTATCTCCCAAGAATCTATTTAAAAAAATTAAAGTAAGTTGTTTCAGTTAGTCAAAATAATTAATTTTAATTTTTTTCAATGGAAGTTGAATATTACATATTTGGCATTAAAAAAGTTACTCTTTTTATTTTTCAGAGTTGTACATTTGAATGCTTTTGGATAGGTTTCCATTTATTACTACTAATTTCTTCATTTGTATTATTTATAGACGAATCTATTATAGTTTATTATAGTATTTAAATGACAATGACTTATGGGGTGACACTCCTCAATGTTCTGCCCAATTTTATAAATTTGTAATGAAACATAAATCTGAACATAGCTTGAAATTTCTTTACATTTACCTTTCTATATTCTATAAGCACTTTAAATCTTGCTAAATTTTAGGGAATGGAGGCATAGCAGATCTGAGATCAATCATTATGATTTCATTTTTGCTGTTCAAGGTTGAATTTGGCCAGCCAAATAGTTAGGGCATGTACAAATGATAATTCCATCAACTGCATGGTAACAACAGCATCACTTGGATCATTGTTAGTGCTGGTACTCTTTGTGATAGAAGTACGGTAGTCACATGATAACTATATAAAATATATTTTTATTGCATTTTTAGGTTATCCCATGCCCCATGGTAATTCAAGAGCCACTAGCACAATTTTTCCAAGGAAATAAATTGTTGAGTTCTAGGGTTTTATTTTCTTAAAGTCAAAACAGTCCAAGGCATGCTGTTTTATGTTACTTTATTATTATAATTTATTATAGAACATTGTTCTGATACCTTGAGAATCCTGTCTAATATAATAAGTAATTAACAATATAAATGCCTGATAAATATTTTTGAAGAACATGTGAAAATATATATGTACAGTTAAAAAGAATGAAATATGTTTAATTGCATTTTAATATGGCATAGTACTTTGAGATTAATATATAACACACGGATGTATATATCCAAAAGAGCCTTACTATTGAATTAAAATAATCATGTACAGGTATTTATGAATTTAAATGTTTCCTTTGCAAATATTGTGAGTAAAACACTTTTCAAATAATATTTGAAACAATTGTGGAATTGTATATTTGCACTGTACCGGTATCTAATGTTTAATCTCAAAAATTCATGAAATAATTAATTTTTTTACTTCAAATATATTTTAAAATTTAAGGAGCTTAATATACATTAAATTGAATTAGAATTTGGAGAGGATGCCTTCAATTATGTGAAATTTTTAAACTTGTCTAAAATTTTATTGATACTTGAAAATTGTTCCTGCATACATACAGTGGGGGGAAATAAATATTTGTACACTTGAAAAATCGTATTTTAATGTATGTAAGTAGTACTAAGTACACAAACTTAACAGGAAAAGTGATTTGAATTATGTGTAGAGACACATAGTATTAAAAAATACTATCAAAAGAAATTAAATCTCAATGCAACAAAAAACAATGTAACATGTTCACTTTTCGGGTGAAAAAAGTATTCGTACAAAACAATAAATCCGCATTATTTTAATTTAATACTTGTTTGAATACCCTTTATTCAGCTCAACAGATACCAGTCTATTTCTATACGTCTCGACCAATGATTTGCAGATGCTGACTGGTATTTTATACAATTCTTCTTGGCACACCACCTTAAGATTCTCAATGTTTGTTGGGGACCTTTTCTTAATTTGAATCTTCAAATACCGCCACAAATTTTCAATCGGATTTAAGTCCGGCGACTGGCTTGGCCATTCCATAACGTGTACATTTCTATCAGCGAACCATTTCTTTGTGGATCTTGCAGTATGCTTAGGATCGTTATCCTGCTGGAAAATCCAATCACCAGGTAGCTCTTGTTTCTCAACAGAAGTCGTCAAATTATTTTCCAGGATGCTCTGGTAGTTTGCAGCATTCATCCTACCATCTATAAGTGATATGTTACCAACACCTTTTGCGGAGAAACAGCCCCAGATCATGATGTTGCCACCACCAAACTTTACAGTAGGCACAGTGTTCTTTGGAAGGTAGGCTTCACCGTCTTTCCTCCACACATGGTGACGATAATTTCGACCGAAAAGCTCAATTTTTGTTTCGTCCGTCCAAAGAACCTTTTCCCAAAAAGCATAGTCTTTGTCCTTATGCTCCTTGACGAATTTCAGCCTGGCATCTTGATGTCGTTTCATTAGGAGTGGGGTCTTTCTTGGGGTGCGTGATTTTAATTCGTTTCTGTGAAGTTCATTGCTTATCGTTCGTTTGGTTACTTGAATTCCTGAGGCACTCAGGTGACTTTGCAACTCTCCTCGAGTAATCTGTGGATTTTTTTGGATTTTTCGTCCCAATAATCTAGCAGATCGTGCAGAAATCTTCCTAGGAGCACCTGATCGTCTTTGGTTTTCAACGCTGTCACGGGTCTTGAAGCGTCCAATGAACGAAGCAACTGTACTAAAAGGAACATTCAAGTGTCTAGCAATCTTCCTATAACTTTCTCCTTCCTTCCAACGCGATAGAATTAGTTGTTTAACTTGTTTTTGGGAACTTGTTAGTTCTTTACCTTTAGCCATTTTTGAGACCTTCTTGTACGTACTACGGGCAGTTGCAGAATGATCTGGTAGTTGCAAAATACCTTAACTATGGTTACTGATTACATTACTGGAACGTGCTACATGTTTCTAGTACATTCTGGAATGTTCTGGTGTGAAATATTAGTCAAAAGTTGTTTTGTACGAATACTTTTTATCGAATACTGTACCGAAGAAGTTAACATGTTGCATTAATTTTTGTTGCATTGAGATTTAATTTCTATTGATGCTATTTTTGAATACAATGCGCCTCTATACATAATATAAATCACTTCTCCTGTTCAGTTTGTGTACTTGCATACATTAAAATACGATTTTTCAAGTGTACGAATATTTATTTCCCCCCCACTGTATATTAATTGTTTTTTTCAGACTGCAATTGGATGTGAAGACATGGAGAATCCAGAGGATCTTATCCAGTTTCCTGACACCCTGGAAGAATTTGGCTACCATTTCAGCAGTGGGTGGAAAATTAATGCATTGCATGCAATCCTGATGATACATGACAGGGCTAGGTATCTTCTGCTCTTCACTTCATTTAAATTTAAATTAAATTGGCTTTGAAGCAAAATTTGGTATAAAAGTAAATGGTTTTTCATGGAAAATTTGTTTGATTTTTTTCAGGGGTTGAATTTTTTCTGTTTTATGAATGAATGACATTATGGTTCAATGTGTATGATTTTCCAGCAGATGGTGAACTACGTACAATTGACACGGATGAAAAGTTCAATTTTGTGGTGAAGGAAGGTGATCACCACTACAATCAGATGCACTATGAGGCTCTAGGGAAGGTAATTGCTTTGTATTAAACAATTATAAATTATTTGAATTTGCCAGAATGACGTTGAGTTTATTTTGGAGGAGTTTGTCAGACAAATTTGGAACCAAGTGGATTTCGTTTTTTTTTTTCTCAAAATAGTACAGCATTCACCCTACTGTGGTCTCAGCAAAGATAATGCATGTGACATCACAAGTGCAACCAGATTGTTGTGTAGTCCTACATGAACAACTCTAAACATTTGTCACCATTCATTTGTTCATATTGTATATCTCAAATTTTATTTACATGCCTACTAATTTCATTTAACATTACCTCAATTAGATTTTAGCTATCATCTTATTTCCTACTAGCCATTTCAATCTAACGCTAATTAATACAGTTGAGACTCCCGTGTTCTCTGCAAAACTTGCATATCTCATTTCGTGGTCATTATTTGATCTGCTAGAAAAAAATGAACCAATTTTATTTACTGGTTTTCCTAAATAATTAATTTAACAAAACCAGTGGAGCACATGTGTGAGGTAAATACAAAATGTGTAGGGAGGTGCAAAACTATAAATTCCCAATTTTGGCATCTCAGGTAGGTATGGTATTCTTTCAAAATCAGGGTAATGTTTACAAAAGTTATTTGTTACTTTGCTTTACTCAATTTTTGTCTCTCTCCTAGTCTGGTCTCCATTTCATATTTATGCTCTTCTCAGGTTATTGAAAAACACATATATGCACTTCTGGAGAAAGATTGCGGACTCCTTCGGCTGCCAGTGCCATCACTCGATTTTCTTGAGAAGAATTCAACCAAAAAAATTCAAAATATTCAACCAAAATATCACAACCAAACTGATGATGCCAAGGCTGCTGCATCTGGCAAAGAAAAAGCTCTTCCTGGAAAAGAACCATCAAATATCTCTGACTCAGCCGTGGACAGGCACCCAAGTGTGGGAGATGAATCTCTTGTAACAGAAGAAAGTTCTCCAGCTGATAATTTGCAGTTGTCTCAACAAATTCAATCTGGATGTGATGACAGCAAGATTGCTTTAGAATCTAGCACAGATAATCAACAAGATGTCGCTAAATCTCAAACTCAGGCAATCGCAGTTGATCTTGCAGGAATGGACCATGCAGAATCAACCATTACTGAACAAGCCATGGAAAATGAATCGGTTACGAGTACCGGTAGTCCAGTGTCTTTGGTTGATGACCCATCCACCACAGTTTCAACTCAAACTTCGTGCACAAATGAGCCTGAAGGCTTCATGTTTGCCTCTGAGGGATGGAATAAACAAGATAAATTGTTGGTACTCATCCACGGCAGCGGCGTGGTCAGGGCAGGACAGTGGGCGCGGAGGTGAGCCTTTCATGTATTAGTAGGAGTGCATAAGTGTGCAGCAACGTGAATATCATTACTTTAATCTATATTGTCCTGTTTAACTCGCCTTTCAAAAGTTTTATTGTCAAATAATGTTTCTCAGATAGTCTACAATGTTTAACTTTTTTCTTTTCTGATATAGCTAGCATTGCTATACAACAGACATGAAAATTGTTGAAAACATCATTTGTATTTATATTTACACTTTACGTAATCAAAATGTATGAATATACTACTATAGTTTCAGATTGTTTCTGATTCTATAAGTATATAATATCCTTGCAATTTCAGGTTAATAATTAACGACAACCTTGACACTGGAACACAAATACCGTTCATCAAGGAAGGGCTTCAGTTGGGCTACGGGATCATCGTGATGAACACGAACCACAACCGCTCACCTGACGGACATGGCTCCTCACGTCCTATAATGGTAATAATATGCGCATATTGTTCCTTCTGTGCCATTATTCCTTCTATGTCATTATTCCTTCTATGCCATTATTCCTTCCATATCATTATTCCTTCTATGCCATTATTCCTTCTGTGCCATTATTCCTGATATATCATTATTCCTTTTGTGCCATTATTCCTGCCATACCATCATTCCTTCTATGCCTTTATTCCTTCTATGCCATTATTCCTTCTGTGCCATTATTCCTTCTGTGCCATTATTCCTTCTGTGCCATTATTCCTTCTATGCATTATTCCTTCTATGCCATTATTCTTTCTATGCCATTATTCTTTCTATGCCATTATTCCTTTCATATCATTGTTCCATCCATACCATTATTATGAAAAATTTAAAAGCAAAGATAATGTTCCAAAAATTCACCATATCTTATAGGAGACGTTCTCTAGAAGATATGGTGAATTTTTGTGGAATTTTTTTAGCCTGTAAATTTTTAGTGAATTTGCCATGTAAGCAATCAAATGACATTGATACTATGATATGATTCCTGTATCATTACTCCATATCAACGCCATTTTTTGCCCCTCTTATGTAGTTTAAGGTACATATGCACCTTAGGTACATTTAATGTACAAATGTACCTTAGGTACAGACTAAGGTACATCTAAGGTAGGTACATATGTACCTTAGGTACATATGTACCTTAGGTACATCTAAGGTACACCTAAGGTACTTATGTTCCTTGGGTACGTGTAAGGTACATCTAAGGCACGTGTAAGATGCGTGTTAGGTCCCTCACCTGCATGCCCTGCATTGGACTAACTAATCTGTGGTGTGCAGGGCAGCGAGTCGCCGGTGGCGCACGCGCGCAGCGTGTGGCGTGACTATGTGATGCCCTCCGCAGCTCTGCACGTCGCTGTCGTCGCCCACAGCTATGGTGGTGTCGTCACTACCAGCCTCGTCAGTAGCTCGTCCTATTCTAGTGTAGTGTTATCATCCTTTATTTATCCTCTGCAATGTTGTCGCCCACAGCTATGGTGGCGCTTATTCTAGTGTAGTGATATCATCCTTTATTTATCCTCTGCAATGTCGACGCCCACAGCTATGGTGGCGTCGTCACTACCAGCCTCGTCAGTAGCTCGTCCTATTCCAGTGTAGTGATATCATCCTTTATTTATCCTCTGCAATGTCGACGCCCACAGCTATGGTGGCGCTTATTCTAGTGTAGTGAAATCATCCTGTATTTAACCTCTGCAATGTCGTCGCCCACAGCTATGGTGGCGTCGTCACTACCAGCCTCGTCAGTAGCTCGTCCTATTCCAGTGTAGTGATATCATCCTTTATTTAACCTTGAAGTCCACTCTGTTATTTTTCGTGCATTATTTTGTTATTAATAACATTTCTGAATTTTGTCCTGAACTACTCACAAATTCAATTAAGATAACAACACGTTTGTCTTGGACTTTATGGACTTGACATCTCAATCTGGTTCTTAATGGGACTTTACATAAATATGAATCTTTTTTGGATCATTGCGACCTGAGTGTTTTGAACTCTTCCGTCTGACCCTGAATGGAACATTAGACAATTATCATGGAAAGTTACGTCCGAGCTCTGCTTTTGTTTCATGAAAATCTGTAAAGCCAAAGGTTCTCAAAACCTTGCCTGGCTGCAAAAACCATATGCCTAATAATTATCTATCTTCTCTATGAAACATACTAGTCTGTTGGGTGAGCTTATTGTGCTTTTGTGTCGTAACTGCCTTTGCTCTCGCCTCCCTTTTTAGCCAAAACAAAAACGCACATTATTTTAGCTCGAAATTAAAAAAAAAATAGTGTCCTTTTTAAGTAAGTTGATTAGGTGTGTATTTTCAATTTTGATTTTAATAATTTTAACACGTCGATGTAGCCAAAACGCAAAGAAAATAGTGCCCTTTTAGGTAAATTGACTACGTATGTATCTTCAGTTTTGATTTTAATATTAGTCTATGGCAGTGGTTCCCAAAGTGGGCATTACCGCCCTCCTGGGGGCTGTGGAAAGATCTGGGTTGAGTAAGAATGGAGCAGTAGAGGGGCAGCAGTCTGAAAACGAAGTCAGAAGGTCGTAAGTTTGTTTGACGATTTGTACACAACACATGCAGCACATGACTCAGAACCGAAAACATTTTCACGCGCTAAAAATCACCGTTTGATAGTTAAGAATTTATATTCAAAATTTCTTTCGAATATGTTCTGTAGTTTGGAAGAAATGATTCGAGCACTACGATTTTCGGTCCATATAGCCTTATAATTCCCGAATGAAGGTGAAATTAGAAAATTTTTCACGAGCTAATCATCATTGTTAGGTTCTAATGAATACGTGTTCCAAGTTTCATCAAGCTGCGTTCATTAGTTTGGGAGAGATTCCTTGATCATTGAATTTGGAGATTGGCCGTGAAACCGGCCACGAGTCTGGCCGTAAATTTGTCCAAGCCGTCTTGAATTTCTAGTGATGAAACAGTTAAAACTGCTAAAAAATATATTTATTTACAAAATGGGGTTCTATTTGTGGAATACACATTTGTGTTTAACCTTTCTCTTTTAAAATTGCAGCGTACTATCAAGGGGAGCCAAAGTGGGCGCCAGCCTGAAAAAGTTTGGGAACCACTGGTCTATAGACTAATATTAATATTAGGAACTATTTTTAACTATTAACATGACTCACATTAGTCTTGTAATGCTAACTGTCTGTAATATATAAATCTGTTCCTGCACTTTTTATGTAGTATGTTGTGCATAGTTATTTGGCAACAATTCTGTAACATCCGTGCTGTTCCTGCAGTTCCAGGAGTTCACGCAGTACTTCGAAGACAAGGTGTTTGCCGTTGCCTTTACGGACTCCGTGCACAGCAGCCCGCTACCAAAAACATTCGGCCATTTTCTCAAGGTTTGTCTATCGTGTTGATATTGAGTCTATCATGCTGATATGCAGCCTATCATGCTGATATGCAGCCTATCATGCTGATATGCAGCCTATCATGCTGATATGCAGCCTATCATGCTGATATGCAGCCTATCATGCTGATAGTTTGTCGAGGCCTCCTGACAGGAAATATCTGCTCATGTATCTATTCTTACATGTTAAATAGTCCACTGCAACGAAATCCCATTATTATGTCTGTTATATAATAATTTCATGAATTACCGACAAGTTTTCTGCATATATTGTATAAAAGTAAATAGAAAACATCTTTTCAATGAGACGAGCTTAGAATTTTAAATGGAACGAGCTATGGTTGAAGTGTGCGCTCTAAAACGCTTCATCTTTGAGAAGTGCTCCCAGACTTCCGGCCCTAGGCATGCCATTTCCAGCATCTGGATTGAAGTAACTATCAATGCGATTATAAATTCATTTGTTGTGGCATGTATCTCCTTAAGAAGTATGTCTTATTAATGTTTAATGCCACAGATCTCGCGTAACTGGGTGACCAGTTCTGAACCTCTGGACACTCGACTCCGTCTCCGCGGACCAAGAGACGTGGTTATTTTTTCTGCAGGTGAGGAGTGATGGAGTGAAGTGTTAGCTCTGTCTCTTATACACATCTNTGATGGAGGAGTGAAGTGTTAGCTTATGAGCTGGTGTGTGGTGATGGAGGAGTGAAGTGTTAGCTTATGAGCTGGTGTGTGGTGATGGAGGAGTGAAGTGTTAGCTTATGAGCTGGTGTGTGGTGATGAAGGAGTGAAGTGTTAGCTCATGAGCTGGTGTGTGGTGACTGTAGCAGGATTCCCACATCCATTTTTAACGAACATCTAAACGTGAAGTATAAAACAATACGGTTAAAATAATTTCGATCAGGTACAAATAACCGATCTCAATAGTGTTACGTCAAGGTACGTGCTCAACTAATATTTTTTGGTATTATTCACTAATTTTTTATATTTGAATCATATACTGCATTTCTTCACCCGTCAAGCTTATTAGCTTGAATGAGCATTCAGTGGGAACATTTTCCCATAAATTTTTTACGTGCTTGCTGCTACGTTTTGTTTTTTTGTGAATAAAGTTATTGTTTAGCTGTTTAGTTATCGTTATTTAGTAATTAAAACACTTAGGCGTTTAAAATATTTAGTTGCTATAATATTGTATTGCTGTATTGTAATAATGAAATATCTAACAAAATTATTTTAGATGGATTAGCAGAAATTTAGTTATTAGTGCTGCTGTGCGATCATGGCCATCTTTGGAGTCGTGCCGATTTCCCAACTGGCTGCAATAAATGCAATTGATTAGTGAAAGCAATTCATTGATGAATGGAAGTGTTTCTCATTGGTAATTCATACCGGAGTCCTGTAATAGAAGAAGATAGTCAAATTCACGTCATTTACTACAGAACTGAATATGCCCTGCCGTCGCCTCTGGAAGTGTGTTACTGTCGGGCGCTGTTCTCACTAACTCGTTTATAATTGCGCTCTGAATTAGGGCAGAATTAATCGATTCATTTATGCTTTTGATTTGCACCAGTGCTTCAACGCTACTCATGTGCTGTGCATTGCGTTTATGTTCTGCATTGCACCTGTGCCTTGGCAACTCGTTTGTGCTGTGCACTGTAACCGTGCTTCTGATTTTTAATGCACTGCTTTGGGTCCTGCATTGCGTTTGTGTTCTGCACAGCTTGTTTGTTGTGCACTCTGTCTGTGCTTCTGTAGTGCATCTGTGCTTATATGCACTGCTGTTATATCTTGCGTTTATGCGGTGCACTCTAATTTATCCCACAGTTAGTTAACCTGGCTAGTGGCTACCACATTCTTTTTTCGCTCCGGTGCTGAGGGTAACCGAAATTGCGATGGATTATGGATTTAATGGAAGCGATTCCCATGCAACGTTTCGGATGATTTTCAATGAGTTGTCGTTCGATGATTTATTTCATCCATAAGAAAGCAACGTGGTCGTGAATAATCAAACGATAATACCTAATTTGTCAGTACCGCGCCTGCCAATGGTTGCTATCTTTTAAACCTATTTCAGTTTAGAGGTACCTATTGCATAGGTTTTCCCATATCTGTTCTAAGATACATACATGATTTATGTAAAGGGTAATGAACATTTTTGAAAGAACTTGAATTTAGTCTGTTTGCTACTATCGAGGAAGTTTACATCAACATTTTACCTAGTGTTTGAGTTTACATCCTTTCGAGCGCAACTTCTTGGGTACCGTGACTGTTGCTATGTTTCATCTGCTCCTCTGCCAATGAATATATGGTAATTTAGGCATCTTGTACACCACTAACACATTTGCCTGGTGCAACCCGGGATCGATAACCCCTACAATTTTCCAATCCCGTCATCCCGAATCTCGTAAATATTAAGCCTCTTGTGTGCTAATTAAAGAAAGATTTGTTTAAACCCAAATTGATGGTAAATATCCCATTTAATCTTGTTAAAAAATGGAACAACTCTTTAAAAGTAAATTTAAATGTCTTAACTTAAACATTAAATTTCAATTTTGGGTCCGATCCTTTTCTCCCTGTTTCACAATGTCTTTCTATTCTTCCACTAGGAACGTATTTTCAGGTCCAAGTATTGTCCAGACAGAGCCTATCTATATATTTGCCCCCTATATACATGTATATAGGCTGTGTCTCTAGCCTCTATATATTTACGGTGCCAGGCATCAAAAACTCAAACAAAACTTGACAGATATTGCAACATGGAACATTTATTTTACTTAAATTTATATTTCAACATAGAACATTTATCTTACTGAATAATTGGACATTATGATCTCCTTAACTAAATTTTTTTGTCGAGTAAACAGGGACTTTAAAACCTCCTACTTTCAACGCGGCGTCATCATTCTAGTAATTTATCTAATACGAATTACGACTGCGCTCATATGCAGGCACAATTTCTCTAACTGACTTGATTCCCTCCGTCTTCTTAAACTCTAAGAATTACGACCGATGAATGCACTAAGATGAAGCATTTATTTCTTTCGGCTGTACTTTATCTGTTCCCGTTCTCGGCGACAAACTTTCTGCGTTTATGGACCGCAACAACTGCGGGCAAGATGTCCTAAGTTGCCGCGTTGCTGAACCGGACGTGACATTTTTCGCTGCAGCGCTAACCCTCCCGTTGTGCATTGATTCTGGAGGGGGCCAAGCGAAGAATGTAAGACTGACTTAACTGTCGGTGGAGACTGAAATATACGGCCTCTAATTTAACTGTTGTTAGCTTCACCGTTACATACTTAAATCACCGCTACATACTTAACACTGTTCGCAATCAGGGTTTTCCGCCGGATTTCTCAATTTGTCTGAAGTTGAGTAATAAAAAAATTTGGGGATAATTTTCTGCCAGAATGCAATTGTTCGCTGTAAAGCTGCCGATTCATTCTCATATTTTCTATCGTTAAAAAATAATTGATTACGAATTTTTATACCGGTTCATTTTTAAATATAATGTGCCACGAAATAAATCAATTTTTTTTTTTCAATAAAATGTATCACGCAAATAATCAACCTATAACATTAGCTGTGCCTCACTGGGGATCTCATGTGGGGCTTGGATGTTGCGTAAGCAGGATAAGGATATCTTACACTTTCCTCCTTTATATCCATCGTGCGGGTAGCCGACGTCTCGTGTGAGCAACTTCTTGCAAGATTTCGTTCTCCTTGTTGTTTACTCGTCCTTTTCTTGTTCTTCGTCTCGCTGAGATACTAACGCCGCTTATTCTACATAACTACCGAGCGCTAGCTGTTTAGGACCTTCTGCGACTTGTTTGTGATGAATAATTCTATATTTGAAAACAAGATCCTACAATCAAGATGCTTCACCCAATCGAGATCCTTCACTCATTCGAGGTGGTGGTAAATTATTTGTTTTGTATCTACGGTGCGACATTACTTCTTACGTCCCTCCTTACTTACTGATGATAATTTAAGAACGGCGTTCATAATACTGCGCCTCTAACAATGTGCTTAATTTTCTGTTGCCTGCTTCCTCAATTTCATATATTTCTCTTTTGCTTGTGATGTGTCTATTTTTATTCGACTCAATTCATTTCAGTTGTTCTTCTCTGACAATATTACTTACGCAATATTCTACAGACTAGAGCTTAATTAAAATAAGCATAACTTTTAAGGCATCAGCACTAAGTCCCACTTGTAATCATGGAAGTAATAACGAGCTCAAATAAAGATAGTAGTGATATTTTAGCTGAAAAAGATACCTCGCAAAACTCAAGAAACTAATATTCTCCACGTCTTGGGTTCCTCGATTTCTGGTTGCCGTCCCGGCCGCTGCAGGCTCCCCCGGTGGGAGCAGATGCACTCCGGCGCGCATTTTTGCAGCTTCCGCTAGATTGACGGGCCAATTTTTTGCGGACAGTCAGACCGCGCTTTGACATTTTTGCGACGTGTTCTGCGTTTCAGTCTCTGCGTTATGAGTATACGGGAAATACGATAATTTTATTCTTGTATTTCATGTTAATGTAACTTTAATTTAGCGTTTATTTTGAAGCATGTGCTTTTTTAACTCAATATGTTTTGTAGTTCAATATATGCCAATATCGGCATATATTCGATATTCGAAAATTCGGAATATATCCGAATTTTCAGCTGAAAATTCCCTTTGCGTAGTTCCTCTTATATTTCGCTGCACTCTCATGTCTTTAGATAATTTTGGTATTATCGAAAGTTGATTGATACAATTGCATTTTTTTCATGAAAAATAATTGAAAATTTTCATTAACTGAATTAATTCAGATCACATAATAAACATTATTTCAAATTAACCAGTATTGCGCCTCAAACTATTTGCTATACAAACAAGTAGCATACAGTGGTTGATGATGCGGTCACGTCGCAGGTGTGGCGAGAGGCAAGCAATTAATTGTTAGCCGCACACGTCGACCTCTGACGCGGCCAAATCAGCCGACCCTTGCCATGGCCTGTAGCTGTTCACGCGCTGTCCAGCGGTGCCGTTAGGCGACTTCGTTGCTGCATGTCAACTTAGGGGATGAACGTGCGGTCTACGTACATACCCTACGCTGTGTCACTTCCCTCGTTGTGTCATCTCCCTCCTTCCCTCCTTGTGCCACTTTCCTCGCTGCCACTTCCCTCGCTGTGCCACTTCCCTCGTTGTGTCATCTCCCTCCTTCCCTCCTTGTGCCACTTTCCTCGCTGCCACTTCCCTCGCTGTGCCACTTCCCTCGTTGGGTCATCTCCCTCCTTTACCACTTTCCTCGCTGCCACTTCCCTCGATATGCCACTTCCCTCGCTGTGCCACTTCCCTCGCTGTGTCATCTCCCTTGCTGTGCCACTTCCCTCGCTGTGCCACTTTCCTCGCTGTGACACTTCCCTCGCTCTGCCACTTCCCTCGCTCTGCCACTTCCTTCGCTGTGCCACTTCCCTCGCTGTGCCACTTCCCTCGCTGTGCCACTTTCCTCGCTGTGCCACTTCCCTCGCTGTGCCACTTCCCTCGCTGTGCCAATTCCCTCGCTGTGCCACTTCCCTCGCTGTGCCACTTCCCTCGCTGTGTCCTTTCCCTCGCTGTGCCACTTCTAGCAGTTGTTTGTGTTTCTTCACTAGCACTTCACTCCTGTGTTTCTTCTTCTCTTTCAGGTCTCGATAAAGAAGGAGTGCCGTGCGTTCAAGTTGCTTATAAGAAGTGCACAGCAGCATTGAGTCGTGAAGACGTTGATCGTGCGGGCCGTGGCAGCGCTGGTCAGGTGTAACACGATAGCGCTCTAATCCCCTGCCAATAGCTTTAGTGAGCGCGCCACGTGTCGCCATTATTGGGTGCCAAATTGCACAGCAACTCTAATGAAACGCGCGTCCCCTCAACGGGGACTCACTGCAAACGCGCCGGGCTCATTCACTGCACTCATCGTCGTCAGCTTTGATATACATTGCGCAATTCGTCAAGTATTCCTTTGCAATTGAACGATTTCTTCAAATTTCTGCTTCGATCGAATATTTTTGTTTGATCAAGCTGGAAAAGATTATACAAAAATTAAAATTGATCGTCAAATAGTGCTTTCTTTCTCTGCATGCAATAGAAAGTTTTACTTCGGCATGAATGTTTACGTCAGGATTCTATGACACGATTTAAGTTTGGAAAATTAGCATATAATCCAAATATGAGGATACTACAGTTTGTTAACGATGTACGGGCAATCAACTATATATCTTGATAATATTTCTGACTAGTTTCGAGTTCCTTGCATGCATTCTAAATGCAGCTCATTACGGGTTTAATGATAGATTTTTGCTTCTGCTTCTGTAACGGTTATGCATTGTGTACTCAAAGCATTGGTTTCGTTTTTTCCCTGATGTAAAGCAAAATTTTCTAGTTTATTTACTTCCAACGGCGAATAATCTTGTTTGCGTAATTTTTTACTTCTCTCAACACCGGTTTTCGTAACTCATATTGCACTTTATTTCATATTTCGAAATAAAGTTCTCCACGAGTTTAATATTTAAGTGAGCAAGTTTGAGCTTTTGTCACATCCTCGCTTTGTTAGCGGCCGTCAAAATTGAGACCCTAAATCGGCTTATGAGGCGGCGTGCAGCGGTCGGCGCGTGCCAGACGCGCGTTGCGTATCCAGTCGCACTCCCACGACGCTGCTGTGCTCCCATCCAAGAAATTATGCGCTTCACGAGCCGCACGTTTCCATATTGGATTTAAATGTATATTTGTCCATGTGAACTTACAGGTATATCCGTGCATGTAGATTTACATGTATATCGATACATGTGGAATTTGGATATACATGTATAATTTTGCATTTGTCTTTGTTCGCAAAAAATTCGCTGGATTTAATTTGATCTCTGTGAGGGAGTGATTTCGGCCCCAATTTTCCTCTGGCTTAAGTTATGTCATCGTATCTTTGCTACTATGCATTGTATCGATGCCTCTCATAAATAAGCAAAAAAACTTTTACCGAGATACGTCGGGTTAACTTTATCGAACACACAGTTTAAAAACCCCGCCCATTGACCTTACTAGAATTAGTTCGCCTCAACCTCCTAAATTACTTAATTTTTTTTTTTGTGAAAACTCGCTTTTACAGTTTAGCATCTATTTAGATTTGTTTCAGTTACTTAGTTTTATTAATTCACAGTAATATATAGTGTCGCTCCGCAACTCCCAATCTAAAATGAAGGCCAACAGTTAAGATGAGGTTTTTCTTCTCATTTTCTTGTTCTGTAGTTTCTTGGGATTTTCCGAGATTTTGCCTCATGTTCGAGTGCTGCGAAAAACGCTACTTCCTGTTTACTGTTACTTCGTCAAAGATCATTAAATTTTCCTTATCGATTCTTTTGAGAATGAAAGTGTGTGCTCATGCATTTTTCTTTCAACGCATGCGCTGAAAGTGTCACGTTCGCTCAAACATCCGAAAATTATAATTTGATAATTACAATTTATAATAAATTGTACATAGTCATTACAATTGATGTATAATTTTGCGTAATGATTTAAAGAATAACTTTTTGTTTCAGGAGTGCAGTCTCACGAGATGACCTCGTCGGCGAGCATGAAGAGTATCTTCAAATTTTTCAGTGAGCGTCTGGCGCTACCAACTTCCATGGACGTCGACCTCCCGGACTCAGGTAACGAAGAAGTGTCCGAAACCTTCCCTCAAGAAGATTCCGAAGTCGCTGTTGCGGAAGATGAAGAAAGTCCTGCTAAAAAGGTCACTAAATTTGAGGACAAATCTAATTGAACGCTCATTTTAAAGAAAGGTCGTGCGCCGATGGAGACTTGGAGGGGTAAGAATTTTTGATTTTGCAATCGGTAAATTTGTTTGCGGTTCCTCATGGCTATAGTCCCATCAGAACGTCGAATAACACCTGCATCATGTGTTGACGGCAGATTAAGTCGAGTGGGCAGTTACTTGATGTAGTCCGTCAAATTATTATTAATCAGGCAGAAACTTTCGCGTATTGTGCGCCAGTTATACGTATCGTTCGCAAGTGTTTTGAAAAGTTATTTGTTTTGGTATATCTCGTCTTATTAGTTTGAATTCAGTCGTTACAGTGCATTGCTTCAGTCCTGCACAAAATGTCTTCACTTCAATGTTTTATTGCACTGATTAACGTAAATTAGTTCTGGTAGTAATATCTGGAATAATTTTGCTTGATTTAATTTAATAATTTTATTTTACGTGGGTTTTGTGTCTGTTTTTTTTTTACTTGGCATACGCTCTGTCCCTGGAGAATTCGCATCTAAAACTGTTCTCAATAGGCACTTACTGGAAAGCCTAGTGATAAGAACGTGTATCAGTATGATTTGTATCAGTGCACTTGGGATTATACAGTTACTTCTCTAACTTTGATCCACTTTCAGTGTGTGTCTCAAGGTTATGTTTGTCATTTTCATTAATCAGTCGTCCAATAATGCGGTCCGCAGATGCAAGACCCAGGCTGTGATTGCGTATAACTTAGAAATTGTGTAGGGATCCGAGGCAACATAACAGCTGCACGCGAAGTCTGTGGGGGTTGCATGATTTTTAGCTTGTTGCTTTAAGGAAAATCTTTAACTATTTCTAATTATTTCTTTAAAACTAAGTCAAAATTTTCCATTTCTTATAGTTATCGTTAAGTATAAGACATTCAATTCTCTGCTTATTAACACATACCTACATTTTATGATATTTTGCGAGTCAATAAGAAACTGTCACATGCTTTAGTTTTTTGGACGTTTAGTGAGCTGAATGATGGAAATTGTCCCTGGAATTTGAGCTACGCTTTATCAAGAGAATAGTTTATGTCGATTAGATGGTTTCTGAAGCCTGCTTTGGAATATCGGTGGAATAAAACGATGTTTTAAACAATTTTTGAGATCATTTATTAATGAATCGAGAGAGAATATTTATACGAAATGGAGAATTTGTGGTTTATATAAGTACAAATTTGGGATGCCCTAATTCATCCTTATTCAAATGCTTATATCTAATATTTATTGTACTGCTGCACGTATTGTCTCGCACGGTCAGAAAATAACCATTGTCATACTTGGACCGCGTTCGGTCCTTAGTAACGCACATCAATTTTGCTTCGACATCAGTAAATTTAATATAAATGATGACAGTATCTTCATAAACATGCGAAAAAAATCCACGCTGTTTCGTTGCAGAATTTCTTGGCACAGAGTTTGAGTTTATATGAGTGCGGGTGTCGTGCATGCAAACATTCCTGTTCAACTTCAACTATGTGAAGCGTAACGATGTTCAGGGGCAATACTTTCAAAACTTGCTAAGTGAACGTAAGTATTTACGCTCTATTTTCTTGTCTATGATTGGTGGATTTTGCTTGAAAGGCCGTCAATGATTGGCTGATGAACTTACGATCTCTTAACTTTTTTTGAAAGTACAGGACCAGAGTTGTGATCTTACATTCAAGACGCTATGTTCGGCAGAGATGAATTTTATCGAGAGTTGATACATTTTAGGTGGTGTGAGTTACATGCTATCCTTTTCTTAGTTTCTGCCATCACTTTAGATTGTCCAGCGCTCGTGCAGGTAATTTAGTTTTGTAGAAAATTTTATATCAAAATGAGAATATTTTTTTCTCTTCAAACCCTTTCATTGTCATAGAAGAATGCATATCTTCAAAAATTACATCCCGTTTTAATGTGTTATAGGTAACATCATTTTGTTTTGCTGATCGAGTATTGATAACCAACGATAATTTTATGATGAAAATCTGAACCAATCGTAAATACATTGTTAAAGAATTACTTTAAGTAAGAAATTCATATTATTTCAACGTAGAAATAAATGGGAATCTTCCATATTTCATTCCGGGAGGATATCTCAACAATTGTTCCTAATTTTAAAGAAAATTGTACTGGTGATTTATTAAATGCACGTTATCTTATCACTATTTTTGTGCTGTGCTGTGCCGGCGAAACGATCGGTACTCACGATACCAAATGAAACTTAACCTCACCAATAAAGGAAATGTAATAAATAATTAACTCATTCATCGATATCTGACTCAATTAACTAACAAAATGTTCTATGTAAAGGAAGCATCGACTGATCCAAAGGTGATATTTCGAGCATTTTGCTCAACGACGCGACATTTAAAACGATTTTGTGAAATAGCAACGTTGAGTCAAACTGGTGAGCAGCACACGCTGCTGCTTGCATGACGCATCAGTGAGCATCACACGCTGCTGCAGCTCATCATGACGTGCCTTAATTGTGCTTTCTTAGTTACAATGAAACCTTCACATTTAAAAGCCGATTCACGATGTTTTGCTTACAGGTAATCCTATTTATCTATCCTCACTCACGAATTGTTAACATTGAAATCAGGTATCAAAGACGTGGTTTTATCCTGAACTGATAGCTTGGCTATAATTTCCCCATAGTGCATTTCTTACGAACGTTTAGTCGACGCTCAAAGCTCCTTAATATTCATTAAGACATTTCACTGCTTTAGATTCATCTTAAAATTATTAATATTTAGCATATACTGCGGATAATCCCTGTACAGTTAGTATGTACACGAATTTACATGTTCCTTGTGAGCAACTCTGGCCAATACTAAATAGAAACTGTAATCAACGCTATTATTCAACCGTAGTATTATTCATCAAATGTACAAATCAACAGGTAACAGCAGCGTATTACTCGTACAAACAAAATAAGGGCGGAGCACATCAGAACAGTTCTTATCATGAGCAGCTAGGAGATCTTAAATCACCTCGATGTATAGCTTTCATTATTGTCGGTTCTAAATTATTTGTGCACCGAGGTTCCAGGTTCATGACATTGCAGCCATGAATTTACAAGGTAATATAGTAACTAATTAAGTCGATTTTATCGAATTACATTCGCATTCCCATTGTTTTGCTCTGTTTTTGCCGACATTCGCCAAGCTAATAAAGGTTAACAAAATATAGGAAATTTCTGTTCACGGGCTACTGGGTCAAGCAATTTAAAATTAGTATATTTAGGAAGGAGCCCTTCATTCAAGCACGTTTCATTAAAAATAATAGCGGTTTTGCTTTAAATTTATTTATAATTTAACTTGACTAGGTGCCTAACAATACGAGCTACTGTTGGTTCTGATAATTTCAAAATTTCACCTAAAAAAAAGTTTTTTAAAATTTACGAGGCGTTAGGCATCTAGAAAAGTTAAATTATAAGAAAATTTTATGCAAGACCGGCATTATTTTCTATGAAACGGTAAACATTCATTAACATTAAAGAGGTAAACATTATTGTCATGAATCATGGGTTCAAAATGTATTCACGGGCGTGGGCTGCAAATTACATCTTAGATATGCAGTATTCAGAAAATTTGCGAGCCCGGAACGGGACGGAATATCTAGAGAATTACTGGGATATATTATCCTCCTTTCAGAAAAATTGTGCACTGAAGCTCGCTACTCATTTTAACAAATAATTATTGTCTCATTATGGACCTGTTAATTTGAACTAGCACTGTAACACTATTTATTTACGCACTAGTCATTTGTCTGCACATTGTGGACTCACTAATCAGGTTTTAGATTCTTTATTGGACGTTAGGAACAATTTAGCGGAACAATCCTCGAAAGCAGAAGCTGAGTACAAGTTTGTCGCTGAGATACACGGTATCGGAGAAGAACTTTGATGGTCCATAGGAAATGCAGATGCTTGGGTTGACGTTGAGACGAGACGCGCTGGCGAAGATATCGCCACACCGGCGACAGGCTCTTTGCTGGCTGCCATTGCCGGGACGCTCGCTAGACTCTCTGCCGTGATGGCCGTAACTGCGGACACTGCACTAGCAATCAGGGCCGGTAGGATTCCGTAAGAGTGATGATAATGATTACTGTCTTCGCGATGATGATGGTCGGTTATAGAGGAATGATAAGCATCATCATGATTTTTGTGGTAGTACCGAGCGCGTCACCTAAAGCCAGCGGCGAGGGTAGGCAAGGTAAAAGAATGCGAGGGCGGCAGCGCGCGCGCCGCCCCTCCTTGGATGCAGTGGCTGGGGGCGCTGAGGGAGGAAGTGGAGGCGACCGTGGACGCTCCCAGGGCTGACTGTCACATGTTGTTCATGTAGGGGTACGTCGTAAACGAAGAGCCGGACAGCAGCATGTCTCTGCACACGATAATAACAACATTTGAAGAGTAAATATTCGAAAAGATTTTATTTTAGATCATTTTAAATTAAAATTCGTGTATTATTTGCGTTATTTCGCTACATAATATCATTTGCACAATAATAACATCATTTGAAGAGTAAATGTTCGAAAACATTTTATACTAGCTTATTTTAAATTAAAATTCCTGTATTAGTTACGTTATTTTACTTCAAGGTTACAAATATGCACATCTAAATCATCATGTACTGCAATAAATCACAATTTAAAATTGAATCTTTGTAGGTATATGAATGGTTATAAGTCCGTTTGCTGAAAAACTTTAGTTTTCTATCACTAATATATGTCTTCTAGTCATTCTATTCCAACCTTACGAGCGTTATACTCATTCATTACCAGAGAAGCTAATTCAGTGTTAAGAACCAAACAATCCAGTTGTAAGAAAACTAAACTCGGATTCATGTGTCAGAATACATTTTACTTTCATAAATGTTTAGAATCAACGAGTGAAATCGATCAGACGATGGGTAAGTATTTAACAAATTCCATCAAGCAATTGGAAAAATCTTGAATTTTCTAAATTTCTTATTATATCGTGAAAATACTCGAATATTTCTTTAAACTAATGATACAGCCTTTGAACGCTTATGCAGCGCTTGTGGAAAATTTGAAACACTTCACTCTGATATGAAACACATATAGCTTGCTTATGGCTGGCCAAGTTTCGCCGGGAGACTGCTGAATTTTAATGTTTATAGCAAGGGTGTAGCTCCAAAACGTACATTTTAAAGAACTAATGTGTATCTTTCGAATGAAAATTCATGACTATAATCCTATCGTTGCCCAAAAGGCATCATCCTGAAACTTATTGCGGGAATGTTTGATATTCCAATGCAAGATTTTAATATATGCACGCTTTATTGCATTCCATTACTAAAAAATGTTTAGGTTTGTTGCATAATAAAGCTTTTGGATAAACTGCGATCATGGCTGGAAATATTTCAACCGAATAATGCTTTAGAAATTTTGAAGAGAAACTCGACTTCTAATTGGCGTGTGAAAAATAAATTTCGAAATCGAGAAATTATTTTGAATTAATTACGATATCAAGAACCATTAAATTCGATTGATGTTCCATTAACTGCGTATTTGGAAAGGAAATTCTAAATAAAAATGAATTATTTAATTAATGGATTCAAAAAACATCAATTGATTTGATAAGTACTTTTGTGAAACTATAAAAAATACAACACTGCGTTATTTTATCAGTGATGCCAAATTAAGTAGATCATGAATTAAATTTAGCGTATATATTTTGACTTAGGTATAATTTTGTATATTTTTAGGTATATATTTTGACTTTCATTAAAGCGCTAGTTTCTTATTTAAATTAATTAAAAATGGCAAATTATAAGAGACCGCAACTACTGACCCTAATATAAGTTACTTGTCATTCATAAATGATAAGACAACTACTGACCTGATGAGAGTTTCGATGGGCGTCTTGCCGACGAGTTTATAAAAGAAGAGTTGCTCTATGACCTGCGAAGACACGGTCCTAAGTGACGGCAGACGAAGCAAGAGCTTGCCGAAGCGAGTGGGCTGGTTAGGGTATTGGTTCCGGCAGTACTCCTCCAGCACACACTGACTCTTCTCTTGTACACTCTCTATGTGCGCCAGGTCGCTCAGGCCGCATGCATCTGCAAACAAATTTATATAATGTCAACAACAATAACAATAGAGGAATAAATAAGATAGGTATAGAGTATATAGACTGATGTATACGGTATGTTTGTACAGCATAAAAACCACAGATCAGGTAATATGGCAGTTGCTCTAATCTACTCTTGATTTTTTTTAATTATTCAATTTTTTAATTGAAGAGTCAGATCAACCAGGTCGCTCAGGCCGCATGCATCTGCACACAAATTGATATAATGTCAACAACACTAACAATAGATGAATAAATAAGATAGGTACGTATAGAGTATATAGACTGATATATGCTGTTTGTTAGTACAGCATAGCATGAGAACGATAAAAATAAAGGTAGATAAGCTTATCCGATTATGAAAAATGGCTTGCTTTATTCTGGCACAAGATGGAAATAATTATAATTTGGTCAGAATAATTTAGTTTAATGATTTTAATAAACTTCACGCTATTTTATCTGAATAACAGAAGTCTGATCCCCATGAAAAACAAAACTGGATTGGAACGTTAAAAAAATAATTATACTTTTGCAGAATTTCCATACGGCATTTCGGATAAAGAATTTCAAACTAACGAATAAATGGGAAACTTAAGAGAAGGTTTCCTCAATCCATCAGAAATAATACTCTATCAACTCAGAAATAATTCTCTAGTCTTCTGAACTCAAATAATTCAAATAACATACGATTAGCGTTAAGAAATTTCTTCACAATGAGAGGAATAATTGAAAAACAGACGAGCGCTGGCTTTTTAATGTGCATCATCATCATTCTGATTCACGGTGACAATCATTCTGCACAATACATAAAAGCACAAATTTTTTAATAACAAATTACTAGGATCATGATTCGTGGTCCTATAACTGTTTTTTATAACTTGTTTCGGGGTCTGTTGAAATGGATAACTATACTGGTTTCATACGAGGTTATAACTGACTTCATCGAGGTTTCAACGTCGGTTTTCAAAAAATCTGGGCAAAATGCCATATCTCCTGCAAAAAAGTCACAAAAATTACAATAATCGGCGACAGGCCAAACTTGGCCTATTCTATAACGCCGACACCGCAATACAATACTAACTGCTGTTGCGGGCCAACTTTGGGCCAGAGGTTGGTTACCACCGGCGTGTCATCATTCAGCGAACGACATAAAGTAATACAGATTCGTATCAAAATTTTATTCTGGAGGCTAGGCATGCGCTCACTCCACCATGTGTGCTACCACCCGCCATTCAGTCCCATTTTCCACGAAGACCGAATAAGTGGTCCCTTGTTGTCCAACATTGAGGTCTAGGTTTCATGTGGGCCCAGAATTACCCAGGTACTATGTGGCCCAGGTTCTGTGGGGCCTAGGTACCATGTGGCCCATGTCCTGTGTGGCCCAGGTCCTACGTGGCCCAGGTCCTGTGTGGTCCAGGTACTTTGTGGCCCAGGTTTTGTGTAGCCCAGCATTAAGGCCCAGGTTCCGTGTGTGTCGACGCCGGGGCCTCGCTTGTCTATGGCTGTATATACAAGAGCACACAGCTCGTCATCCTCATGCATATTCAGCGCGTCTCACGCTCCGTTCGTGCCGCCAGGCCGCCTTTAAACTTCCATCACGAAATATCACTAGCCGGAAAAAATCTAAAAACGAATCACGAAAAAAAGAAAGGAGGCGCGTAAATCATGCGGCTTAACGATCGTCATTTGTTGGACGGCGGAAGGGTCATTAAAGATGCGCTCACTCGCGTGAAACGACACGGATAAATTAGAAGACTTCTAATTTGAAACTTGAGGTGGAATACATAATACGGTCTCGAGGCGCTGCTTAGGATTAGGATAAATCCTACTGTATCTGATCACTCAGGAGATTTAATTAAAGTTTGCCGCTAAAACAGAATTGCTGGAAAAACTGGCCAGTGCTTGACATTTAGTAGATAAAAATTTATAGCTTTCTGCTGTCTGAGCGGAAATGCGCGCTGTTCACTCGAACACACGAATTAGCGTTATTTCTTAATGGAAGGCGTATATTGTCAGCTTCATTTGTTAATTAGATTTTTTTATTGCAGGAAAAAGTTTCAAGCTTTTGTTCATATCCGCGTAGTAAACATGATCATAACTAAGTAAATCGTACGTCAAGAATGCTTTTAAATGTAATTTTATAGGGTAAATCTGATTTAACAATGTATTAAAAAGCAAATAAACAGGCTTGAAGATTATTTGCCGACTATAATAAAAGTATTTTTTTCTGACACAGCGAAATATTTACAACTGTAATTGGGAGCTAGGAATACTAGTAAAATAGAATTATTCCAGGTTAGAACATTTGTATAAGTAATGGCCAGTAAGAATTGAATGGCGAGTTGCAGTTAATTTTTCGTATGATTAAAAATCCTCATATTTTTATCGGTTAATGCCCCCAAGAATGTATCCTATTCATTCGGTTAATTTCGTACGACAGTTATTGTGTAAATGGGTACACTAAAAATAATGAATTTAGCATTTTTCCATACGATAACACGAGTTTACGATAAAATTGAAGTGAAATTGGAAATAATTAATTTCGAATCAACCATTATTAGAAATTTCTAATGAATAAATAGACTTGACAGCTTCTCCAACATCCGCATCAAATTAAAAAATGATTCATAAGGGCATTAGATAAAAACAGCAGTTGAACTCCCGCAGAGAAAAGAACAGCTATCTGTTTAAAAGAAAGATACTGTGTCGCTTAAAAGATAGTGACAACCATTACATAATTGGGGAACTTCAGTAGAGGAAAGAACAGTTTTATGTTATCCTGCATCATTATAAAGATAGTGACACAACCATTACATAATTAGTGAACTTCAGTAGAGTAAAGAACAGTTTTGTGTTATCCTGAATCATTATACAGATAGTGACACAACCATTTCATAATTAGTGAACTTCAGTAGAGTAAAGAACAGTTTTATGTTATCCTGCATCATTATAAAGATAGTGACACAGCCATTACATAATTAGTGAACTTCAGTAGAGGAAAGAACAGTTTTATGTTATCCTGCGTCATTATAAAGATAGTGACACACCCATTACATAATTAGTGAACTTCAGTAGAGGAAAGAACAGTTTTATGTTATCCTGCATCATTATAAAGATAGTGACACAACCATTACATAATTCACCCGCGCAGAAAATGATGGAGGAGACGATAAGCTACATCACGCAGCAAAAGCGCCAGTGAAATATGGCGGTATTAATGATTTATAGCGACGCTGAAGAGCTATTGAGAGCGGCGCCTAACAATATGAATACCGAATTTGAATAAAGTTTCATAGGTCTAGACTGAAGTAATAAATTAAAAAATAAAGCTTCGAAATAATCCCCGTACTAAATTGCGAGGAAAAAGTATTTTCGTTTTATTAATATTTTCGCAATTATTTTTTAAAGATTATAAATTAATTATTAGCTAATACGTATTCTAGTTTGCATATTCCAGTGTTAAAATTTCGGAAATGAACACGAAATTTCCAGCTGGAGCAGTTCTATTGCCGAGGCTAAATTGCCTGCCCACTTATCCCTTCAAGCCACAAAAGCCACTGGGGCTCAATATTGACAGCTCGCGTTGCCTTATGGCACGGTGTTGCCAGCCAAGGCACGGTGTTGTCACGTATGTTGCCAGTCAAGGCACGGTGTTGCCACGTATGTTGCCAGTCAAGGAACGGTGTTGTCACGTATGTTGCCAGTCAAGGCACGGTGTTGCCACGGATGTCGCCAGTAAGGGCACTGTGTTGCCACTCATGTTGCCAGCCAAGGCACGCATGTTATCATACATCTGTTATGTCCTACATCACATCATTATCATACATCACTGTTGTCATACATCACATCGTTATCATACATAACTGTTGTCATACATCTGTGTTGTCCTACACCACATCGTTATCATACATCTGTGTTGTCCTACATCACATCGTTATCATACGTCACTGTTGTAATACACCACATCGTTAACATACATCACTGTTGTCATACATCACATCGTTATCATACATCACTGTTGTTATACATCACATCGGCATCTTACATCACAATGTTAACATACATTACTGTTGTCATACATCACTGTTGTCATACATCACTGTTAACATACATCACTGTTGTCATACATCACATCGTTAACAGTCCCTCACTTGTCTTCCCTCGGGACGACGTTCGTCCTCTTTTGCGGCGCTGGGCGGCAAACAGCATGCAAATTGTAATTGGCCGCTCGGTCGCCTAAAAGAATGAATGGACATATGTTCGAGTGCGTGCGTCTGGTCCAACCGCTGCATCTATGAACGTATGAGAGGCAAACACTTCACAGCACTTCACTCAGGTCAGGGAAGATATTTGAATATTCACAAATGGAAAAAGTTTGAAACTTTTGTTAAAGGCGTTCGTCATGTTGAAGTATCGAAAACTTTGACGGTTAAGTATTCATTCGAATTTAAAAAATACTTGTCTCTGGTTGCGTGAGATTATAGAAACTAAAAAATGTTAACACATTAATGTTTTACAAGGATTTTACGACGCCTAGATTCATGGCGAAAAAGTCGCCTTGATTAGCCAGACGGGTTTTATATAAGCTACTTTAACGTCAGGTAATGGGTAAAATGAAACCAAATAATAAAATAATTTAATAGAATATATGTATTTCATAATATAATAGGTTCACTATAATAATATGCAGGAGCACGGAACATTTATCATCAAGGATGATAAATGTTGGATGATAAATGCGCGCCTCGCTGGTTGACGCGACCCTTTAGGTTGCAGTGCAAAACAATGAAGGCAATTACCGCCTCTGACCCCCCGGGAGCAACACGGACTTCACCGAGTGCAAGGCAGCGACAGAAATGATGCAAATCAGAAAACATATGGAAAATATCCCAACTGAAGAGCAAGTTAGGCCGGCTTGCCAGGGGTCAGCCGATGGCCGATGCTCGGCCAGCGATGAATCACTCCATTTGCTGCAATGTTGCCTACAAT